TACATTATTTGATGCCTCCATGTGCCACTTGTAGTTATATCCCTTATTTGGCCCCATTTTTGCATAAATTGGCAGCCCCCCTTGCTTCCGTTTTTAGCTTTTCCACAGAACTGAAAGTGGCCTTATTTTGGCCTATACTTCATGTTTCATTAACATTTTTTTTCTTTTTGGCGATTATTTTGTATACTTCATGTTATAGCACCTTTTGAGCCTCAATCTTGTCTTTTTTTTTAGCATGTTTGTATACTGTTTTGGCCATTTTACAGTTGGCGATTATTTTGTATACTTCATGTTATAGCACCTTTTGAGCCTCAATCTTATGCCTTTTTTTTAGCATGTTTGTATATTGATTTGAGCTTTTCCATATACTGTAAACATTCATATTTTTAGTCTCTCTTAAATGTTGTAGAAGGAAATTTTTCAGTTTGGATTTTTCTTATATCACTTGCTTCATTACCCCTCTCTTGGCCCCTATTCTTGCATGCCATTTTTGCCCTACCTATGCTTGCTGTTTGGCCATGTTTATAACTGTGAAAATGCCTTTTTTTGGACTGTCTAGCTTCTGTCATTGCATTGCATGTCCATATTGTGCATGTTTGGCATAGCTATAGGCCATTCCGGGTGCCTAATGTTGCATTTCGGGACCATTTCATGCTTCGGGAGTACTTTAGCCTCATTTCGGGACTGTTTTCCCCCATATTTTAGTGCTGAAATTCTATTAGAATGATCATTTGTCATTTTCATGTCATTTGCGCTGCATTTGCCATCGCCTCGGTTTGCGTGCCCGTGTGCACGCATTTCGAGGCACTCCATTTTTATCCGTCGGCATCCTATATGAGTGTGGCTGAGGCTCACTCATGTTGGTATAAGCCCATATCCATTTTCATGTCATTTGCGCTGCATTTGCCATCGCCTCGGTTTGCGTGCCCATGTGCACGCATTTCGAGGCACTCCATTTTTATCCGTCGGCATCCTATATGAGTGTGGCTGAGGCTCACTCATGTTGGTATAAGCCCATATCATGCTTTCATATCATTGCATTG